ATCTTGAGGACAGTTAATCTTTTATTTATCTTACACCGATAAATTGGACATTTCCTCAAGATCTGAAAACATTTCTTACACAATCACAATTTCTGTCTTTTTTCTTCAAAGCACACCACACAATCAGCTGAAAAACATGGCACTTATCTTGGCTCAAATAATTAACAAAAAGTTGAAGTGTATTGAATTAAAGTAGGTACTACATATACTTACATCCTGCTAGTAAAAAAACACAGGTAAAGCTAATTAAGAGCAAATATACTGCAGAAAAAACATCGAGGTATTTTTTTCTTCATAACGTCAATTACACTTTTTAACAGATCCATTTCTTCGTTATGCATTGTTTGCATTTATTTGGCAACATTTTCATTTCTCTCCTCTTTATTTCATATAATTCCCCAGCATGGAAACTACATGTAATTGAAGATGATGATTGCTTTGATTTTTGAATTTTCTTGCAATAATTTTGACTACTGTGTGAAGATTTCCCATTTGTATTTTCTTCCAGTTTAAAGCAGATTTTTTCAATTTTGCGCTTTTTACTAATAGAGGGTACACCTTCTTCTTTCTCGGGGGGGGGGGGGGGGGGGCTTAGAGCCACTGCTGGAGGTATGTGTTGGTGTTACATTGGGATCCTTTGCAAGAATCGTATCAAGCTCGTTTTCAAACGGATGTTTTTTTTTCTGGACTCTTGTTTTCCTGTTGTGGTCCTTTACTGCCTTAAACCCGCGGGACAACTTGATGAAACATATCCTTCTTTTCGGAATTCCATTTTGTCTGAGTTAACGGCTGGTAATTTTTACCCAATTTCTTGATAAGTAAGAGTGTTGAAAACCTTGTCCAAAAATACCATCCGTTGTGTTGGTCTGACTTTCACCCGGGGTCTCTCTCTCAGTACAGGAAGGCCGTGGTTGATTATTATCAGCAAAATCGCCCTCTGTTTGGTTCTCTCCTAATAAAAAATGAAATGTGATACTTGTACTAAATTTCTACTGTTTGATAAACTTTGTGGCAAAATATTATTTTTAGAAATTTCTATTACCCCGTTTAGCTTTATAAGTATTATATTTTTTTTTTACAATTCACAGAATAAATGGACTTGTATTTAAAAACTAGAAGTCTCTGTCGAGACTGAAGCTCTACTGCTTTGTACTTACAGCAAAGGAAGGGAAAAGTACTTAAGCAGTTGGGAATTGAAACTTCAGTAATACAACAGCAATAAATAGAATAATGATCATTGATTAACCCTTTATCTACCAGAGATTTTGCATTTTTTCTGCAAAACTGACTTAAAATTTTTAAAGAGAAATTGGATATTTTCTAGTCACTTTCACTTAAAGCAACCCATATATTTTATGAAAGATAAGTTCTTCAAGTTTTCAATTATGCAAAAAAGTCTGACGTAATGGTTTGCCATGGCAACAAAACGAGCCACCAAACTGAAAAAGTTGGGTTTTTTACCTTTCCTATTCTATAAACACACAAAAAATATTCAATAACTAGATGCTGTCATGAGACAGTAATACACACACGTACATATTGGGCTTTCCAAGGAAAAGTCAAAATAATACTATTATTTACACAGTACATGTACTCTCACATTGATTATAACATTCTCAAACCCTGTGACTATGTGACCTATGACTCAGTGCCTCTTATATGTATTTTATATGCTTCATAGGCGTCGGAAAATACCAAATATAAATGGAAATAGTCCAATATAAAATGTTAACATTGAAAGAACTCACAGGTACATGTATATGTACATACATTTTCTGTGTTATGATTACATGATGAAATATACAAGATCTTGATACATTTACATTGTTACTTAATATTTTGAAAGGAATTACTAAGTAGACAAAATGCACCAAAGAGATACATGTACAGCTGTACATGTATTTATATTTTCATTTCTAATTATATTCTCTGTGATAACTCATTGAAAGTTAGCGGAGTTGATATCTTGAAAATTCTACCGGAATATAAATGAGGCAGGTTGATAGGTCAGGAGCTATGGAGGCCTACATGTGAAATAAGCATGCAAATCTCGTGCGCATCTTTCTCTGTGTCTGACACTAAGGAGGCCAAACATGCATGTAAATCTCGTGCATCTGCCTTTGTGTTTGACGTCAGTGGGCGAGGACTAATAATAAATATCTACTATGTACCAACCCAGTAGATAAAATACTAAACATGGTGTAACTGATTTTGAATGTGATATGTCTGGAAAAATGCACTTCTACACAAATGGACATTGCAGATATTGCAAGCATATACAGGCCCTCGTCTTAAACCTTGAGAACTACACCATCTGCTTCGCCTCTTAATTTCATTTACCTTTACACTCACGTAGCATACTACACTTACTGCTGTAATTGGGGGGTGATGAGGCTGAACTTGACGTATCCTCTTACGACTAGAGAAGTCTCCAATCAAGCACTGTGCTATGTCTTATGAAAAGTCAGTAAGTGAATAATGGACTAGAGGTTTCACTGTGCCCAGGGTGTTCAACCACAGAAGAAAGCTGTTGAAAATGGAAATTTGTAATATGAAATTCATAAAGTATTTCCAGAATTTCTTTTAAGGTCTGCCAACAGGATTCTTTGATCTGTACTGTTGTGAGCGGTCCACTCCAAAGTAGTGTTCCTGCACAGGCACCTGACGTTACTTATTTTTCTTTTAATAAAAAAAATATACACATACCGAATAATAAACAAGGTACCCATCGAAACCCGCCATCTTGGATTTTCGAAGTAGGTCATCACTTGTATTTTCGTCTGAAACTCCGTCAAATAAATTCCCTGCAACCATATCCTTTCTGTAGCCAGTCTTTCGAGGTCTAAACTTACGGACACTGCAGCCAGGAAGGCGCATTACACTTGCAAATATTGAAAATCCCTCGTCAAACTCGACCTACTGCTTTAACATTCCGAGAAATCGCCAAAAGGGGGCCGGAAGTTTACATACGACTTGAAATTCTTAGGGAAAGCCCTTTTTTGATTGGTCAATATATTTGTGCGATTTATTTTTAAAAATAACCGGCGAAAGTTAGTACTTATTCCAAAAACAATATTTCAGACAATAATACAACGTAATTTACATGTAAGAACATTCTTTTTATTTCTCTCAAAATAATTTCGATATATCTTGATTAATAAAGCGATTATATTTTGTAAATGTCGAAGATCGGCCTGATCATGCTAGCTGATCAATGAACATTTTCGAGACAAATTGAGTTGGTTGTAAGGCCCTACTTACATGCACTAAATATAAATAATAACACTGTCATTATTGATGCCCTGATTGAGCGCTATCCGTGCAGAAGATTGACTTTATAAGTACGTACACACGTGTGTGAGAGGGGGGGGGGGTTCCACACTAAAATTATCCCAGGGAATGTTGAGATCTGCAATTTTATGTATTGCAATAAAGTAGTGACATGGCGACATTTTTATTTTTTTCTTGGTGACAGATTATACATATACATGTCGCACAGGCTTATATTTGATTTCATTACATATCCTTTTTTCAGTGTGATCCTTCTCCTTTTTCAATTAAGCATATGCCATGTATATATGTATACATATATTTAACTGGATGGTTTGCAGTCTATTGTTTTTTGAAAACGATTCAATTAACTCTAGATGATTTGTTATTGATTTTTTTTAAGCACCCCCCCTCTCTTATATTCAAAATTGTTTCGAACGCAACGACCTTTATAGATTAATATAGTATATTTTACAGGTATATTTATAAGAAGTGTTTTATTTTTCCCATTTTGCATTTTTTTCATTTCTATAATCGATATATTCATTAAAATTTCAAAGTAATTATGACACCCCTCTTTAGATCCACCACAAAACTGACAAATACGGAATTCCCATTAGCATATTGATGTAAACTTCCGGCCCCCTTTTGGCGATTTCTCGGAATGTTGAAGCAGTAGGTCGAGTTTGACGAGGGATTTTCAATATTTGCAAGTGTAATGCGCCTTCCTGGCTGCAGTGTCCGTAAGTTTAGACCTCGAAAGACTGGCTACAGAAAGAATATGGTTGCAGGGAATTTATTTGACGGAGTTTCAGACGAAAATACAAGTGATGACCTACTTCGAAAATCCAAGATGGCGGGTTTCGATGGGTACCTTGTTTATTATTCGGTATGTGTACATTTTTTTTATTAAAAGAAAAATAAGTAAGGTCAGGTGCCTGTGTGTTCCTGGTAGTGCTGAACAGACTGGGGGCGCTGAAGTAGAACGGCACCACCACCTCTAACTTGTCTGACTGCAGGCTCATCTCCCCGTGGATTTGATGTAGTGGACAATCCATGCACCAACAATAGTAAAGTTTTATCATACAATGTTACTTCTGGAGGAAACTTCGGAACACTGAAGGAAAATTGCAACAAACTAGATACTAATCTTACTGGTTTATTATCGTTCCACACTGTAAGGACCATGTTTCCATGTTGCAGTTGTTGTGCATCTCCATGTTGTAAGTTAGGATTTTTTCTATGGGAAACCCCTTTCTGTTGGTCTTGATTGTTCCACAAGCATATATCCCATAGGTTTCTAGAGATTGGACCAAGGGGATTGAAGTGAAAAATCTGTAAATTGTAACATCATTTCAAAAACTTGATATTGCAAGAATAGTTGGGAACTTAAAGACTATACGTACAAAGCATATATTTTAACACACATAAATGAATAAAAAATTAAAACAGGTACATTTACACACCTGTCAAAGAAGACATGATGACCTTTCCACTTGATATCCTTGCATAGAGGTTCACTAGTCTCTCTCCTATGCTTTGACCTTCCATTTCATCATATCGACAAAGGTAGAGTCTATAACCATGTGTGTACCCACTGGGCTCACAACGCATTCGTATCTGTAAAGGAAATTTGACTTGTATCAAGAAAAAGTCAATCACAAAATGAACTAGATGTACTTTTAGCACTAAGCTCACAAAATGATTTTTGAAAACGTGTCATTTTCTCCCTAAGATGATGAGTCTACATGTACAAGGAGAAAGTGAACTGGTGTTAAACTGTTAATGGCTTGTGTTGAGGATTCTGAAAAAAAGCCACAGAAATGGAGCCCACACCCCACACCCCATTAATTCCTTGTCTATTTTTGACAGATATTAGTTTTTACATTATAAGTAATGATTATACCTTCAGTCCTCTTTTTATTGACTTGCATGGAGTATACTGGCGGGCGTAATGGTTCCCCTTGTATCTCACCATTCCTTAATCAATACTTTGACATTTTCCGGGCTTGTAATACTTCTTGAATGCTTTTCGTGTTGCAGTTACCAGAGGACGAATCTTATGCAATCTACAAAATGAAACCAAATATGGATAATCAAGGGTTCTTTTTTCACAACTAATATTGACACCCCCCCCCCCCCCCCCAAAAAAAAAACAAACAATGTTTTGAATTACTTAGGTGACAATGCACTGCTAATAAAACATATGTTAAAAAAATACTCAATGTTGACATGCATATACTGCTCTACTTACTAGACTACTATATTTAAAATAAATTTTTATATCCATAATAGACAATGAAACAATTTAGATAACTGTCATACAGTGGAGATCCTGGCGGTCCTTGTGTAGTGTTGTTATTGAGGTGTAAGTGCTGGGACAATTTTATAAATGTGTTCCTGGTCATGCATTCTTTGAAACCCTGGTGTCCTAAAAATATAGCAAAATACAAGTAACAGCAAAAACAAGCATAGATATATAATTCCCCCCCCCCCCTCTCTCTCTACTTTGCTCTGTTCTTGTGGGCATAAACAATTTATGTCCATATAATTATGTTCCCCAAACGAAGTTGGGGAACATATTGTTTTTACTCTGTTTCTTATTATTATGTTCCCCAAACGGAGTTTGGGAACATATTGTTTTTACTCTGTTTCTTATTATTATTATTATTTTTCTTATTTGTTCTCCGGTACTTTTTTGTCCGCGAGTGTTCTCAGAAACTGTTCACCCAACTGAGCTAAAACCTTTTTAGGGTTAATAGGTGTGTAGTGTAGGTGTGCGGAACGAAGGTCATTTTGCGCGCATACGCCTGCACGTGCGTGCGCGTGAAATGAGTGAATTGACTGATATACTTAATATAGCTATAACTTTTAAATTTTTTAATGAAATGCTTTGAAACTCAATACATAAGGATATATTAATAGTGTTATTGTTATGACATGGTCAAATTAGCACGAACTCACGCGCATGCTCGTGCGCCTTGCTCTGATTGGCTGAAACAATAATCTCAATATCTCATTTGTTTTTCGACGAAATGCTTTGAAATTTTTAACATTGTCATGAATTAGGATATCCTACAATATAATATGGAAAAAATTTCATGAAATCACGCGCATGCACGTGCGCTGCAATCTGATTGGCTGAAACTTTAAATGGCTATATCTCCTTTGTTTTTTGACGAAATGCTTTGAAATTTAAAACATAGTCATGCATTAGGATATCCTGCAATATGATATACAAAAACTTTCAAGAAATCACGCGCATGCACGTGTGCTGCAATCTGATTGGCTGAAACTTGAAATGGCTATATCTCCTTTGTTTTTTGACGAAATGCTTTGAAATTTAAAACATAGTCATGCATTAGGATATCCTGCAAAATGATATACAAAAACTTTCAAGAAATCACGCGCATGCACGTGTGCTGCAATCTGATTGGCTGAAACTTGAAATGGCTATATATCTCCTTTGTTTTTTGATGAAATGCTTTGAAATTTAAAACATAGCCATGCATTAGGATATCCTACAATATGATTTAGAAAAAAAAAATCATGAAATCACGCGGATGCACGTGTGCTGCAATCTGATTGGCTGAAACTTGAAATGGCTATAACTCCCTTGGTTTTCAACCAAACAGGATGGGATTTACAACATACATAGATATAAGGGACTCCTACAAGAAGGTATGGTCATCATGCACGTGCACGTACGTGCATGCATTTGGAATGAGTGAAATTGAATTGGTGATTTTTAATACTTTTGGACTAAATGCTTTAATATAGAGTATATTTAAATAAATAGAAAGTGTAGATAAGACGATATGATCATTACGCACGTGCATTCACATGCGCACGCCTGCAATGTTAAATTTAAAATATAATTGGTATCCTTCTGGGAAAACGTTGTTAAAGTCAAAAATGCACAAATGTTGTATTATTTAATACGACTTACATGGAATATGGCACCAAAAGGGAGTTGGGGAGCGTTTGGGGAACATCTGTAACGGTTCCCGTTACAATTAGCACTAGTTATTATTCTTATTATTTTTCTTCTTCCTGGGAAAATTTTGTCCACGAGTGATCTTGTAAACTACACATCCGACTTAAGTGAAACCTTTTTAGGGTTAGTAGGCATGTTATGTAGAGTTGCCAAACAAAGGTCATTTTGCGCGCACGTGCTTGCAAGAGCGCGCACGTGCAATTGGTGAAATTAACAATATAATGGATATTGCCGTAACTTTTCTATTTGTTGATGAATTTTTTTGAAACTCATAATGTAAGGATACATTAGTAGTATAGACAAGATAGCATGGTCAAAGTAGCAAGATCTCACGCGCATGCACGTGCGCTTCGCTCTGATTGGCTGAAACTAAAGTCTCAATAACTTTCTTGTTTCTTGTCATAATTCTTTGAAATTTTGAACATAGTCCTACATTATGAAGTTCTACCGCATGATATATAAGAATTTTCATTAAAGCATGCGCATGTGCGCGTGCTGCAAGCTGATTGGCTGAAACTTTAAATGGCTATTTCTCCTTTGTTTTTAGACGAAATTCTTTGAAATTTGAAATATAGTCATGCATTAGGATATCCTACAAAATGATATAGAAAAAAATCATGAAATCACGCGCATGCACGTGCGCTGCAATCTGATTGGCTGAAATTTTAAATGGCTATTTCTCCTTTGTTTTTTGACGAAATTTTTTGAAATTTAAAATATAGTCATGCATTAGGATATCCTACGAAATGATACAGAAAAAAAATCATGAAATCACGCGCATGCACGTTTGCTGCAAGCTGATTGGCTGAAACTTTAAATGGCTATTTCTCCTTTGTTTTCTGACGAAATTCTTTGAAATTTAAAATATAGTCATGCATTAGTATATCCTACAAAATGATATAGAAAAAAAAATCATGAAATCACGCGCATGCACGTGCGCTGCAATCTGATTGGCTGAAACTTTAAATGGCTATTTCTCTTTTGTTTTTTGACGAAATTTTTTTGAAATTTAAAATAAAGTCATGCATTCGGATATCCTACGAAATGATATCAAAAAATCATGAAATTACGCGCATGCACGTGTGCTGCAATCTGATTGGCTGAAACTTTAAATGGCTATAACTCCCTTGTTTTTCAACCAAACAGGATGGCATTTAGAACATAGATAGATGCAAGGGACTCCTACAAGAAGGTATGATCATCATGCACGTGCACGCACGTGCGTGCATTTGAAAGGAGTTTATTTAAAAATACTCTTGAATGAGTGATTTTTATTACTTTTGGACTGAATGCTTTAATATATAGTATATTAAAATACATAAATAGTGTAGACAAGATGATATTGTCATAAGGCACATGCATTCACATGCGTTTGGGTGCAATGCTAAAAATTGAATATAATTGGTATCCTTCTGGAAAAACGTTGTTAAAGTCAAAAATGCACAGAGTTTGTCTTATTTAATGAAGCTTCCAGGGAATATGGCACCGAAAGGGAGTTGGGGAGCGTTTGGGGAACATCTGTAACGGTTCCCGTTACAATTAGCACTAGTTATTATTATTATTATTATTATTATTTTTCTTCTTCCTGGGAAAATTTTGTCCACGAGTGATCTTGTAAACTACACATCAGACTAAGGTAAAATGTTTTTAGGGTCAGTAGACATGTTATGTAGATTTGCCGAACAAAGGTCATTTTGCGCGCACGTGCTTGCAAGAGCGCGCACGTGCAACACGTGAAATGACCGATTTAATTGATTTTGGCGTAACTTTTTACATTTTTGATGAAATGTTTTGAAACTCATAATATAAAGATATATTAGTGGCATAGACAATATGACATGGTCAAAATAGCAAGATCTCACGCGCATGCACGTGCGCTGCACTCTGATTGGCTGAAACTAAAGTGTCTATATCTTTCTTGTTTTTCGACGAAATCCTATGAAATTTTGAACATAGACATGCATTAAGATATCCTACAACATGACATATTGCAATTATCAAGAAAACACGTGCATGCACGTGCGCTGCAATCTGATTGGCTTAAACTTTAACTAGCTATAACTCCCTTGGTTTTCAACCAAACAGGATAAGATTTGGAACATAGATAGATATAATGAACTTCTACAAGAAGGTATGGTCACCATGCACATGCATACATGTGCATGTACGTGTGCTGTAATCTGATTGGCTGAAACTTTAAACAGCTATAACTCCCTTGGTTTTTAACCAATCGGGGTGGGATTTAGAACATAGATAGATGTAATGGACTTCTACAAGAAGATATGGTCACCATGCTCGTGTATGCACGTGCGTGCACGTGAAATGAGTTAAATCAAAAATACCCTTGAATGAGCGTATTTCTTAATACTTTTGGATTAAATACTTTAACATTTAGTATATAAAAAATATATAAAATGTGTAGACAAGATTATATGGTCATTACGCACATGCATTCACATGCGCACGCGTGCAATGCTAAAATTTGAATGAACTAATTGAACTTGGCGTTGTTAAAGTTTCAAATGCATAGATTTTGTCCTATTTAATGAAGCTTACAGGGAATATGGCACCAAAAGGGAGTTGGGGAGCGTTTGGGGAACATCTGTAACGGTCCCCGTTACAATTAGCACTAGTTTGCATTATGCTTTACATTTTATTTCCCCTTATATTGTTACATGTACAAAGAAACTGATTTTTTCAAATAAACATATAACAATTATTTATTTTGTAGAATTACTACTAAATAAATAAATGTAAACCTCACCCAGTATCATTCCCTCTTTACTTATTTATTTACCTACACTTACCTATATATTTGTTATCAGACCAGTACATATGAATATCTGGTAACTGATTAATCCCCATCAAAATCCATAATCCAAAATACGCCTTCACCTCTCTTTCGTTTGTCGGGGTCCAGTCAGCATCAGGCTGCCCAGTTCTCTCAGCTGTCTGTTGTGCATACCTGTTAGCTTCCTCGGCTATCTTTCCAAAAATTGCTGTTGGTAACATCAGCAGAAAGTATCGGTATACATGGTCCAAGGGATCAAAATCATGGGAGGGACCATACTCTTCTTGAAACTCAGCAATCTCTATATCGTGAAGTTCGTGGGACCAGAAATCATCGCCAACGTCGCTCAACTGACTGTATAATGTACACAATGATGACCGAGTTTTTGGGAATCTGAGTCACTGTCTGTATCAGATGAAAAATCTTCATTATTGGATTCGTCTACACCAATATCTGATCCATCAGACAACAAAACTTCAGACTCTGCATCGCTTTCCCCGCAATCGTCCATTATGAATTTACGCGCTGTTTACCTAACAGTCATGGCAACAAAGAAAGGGAGCTAAATCAAAAAGATAGCTTTGGAAAACTGTAGTATACACTATACGGGCCATAGTAAAAAAAAAAAAGATGTGTTTGTGAAACACTATGCGCCCATCGGCAACAAAGTCACAAAAAATACTTTTAGCATATAGGTCACAGTCAAGGTCACAAGGTCATTGATATTAATGTTATTTGAAAGAACTTTAGTAGTGGAGTATGCATACCAAATATGAAGTCTATATCTCCTATGGTTAAAAATTTATGGCAAAAGTTCGTAAATAGCTATTTTTAGCATTAAGGTCACAGTCAAGATCACAAGGTCAATGACTTTAGTGTCATTTGTATGAGCTTTATTAGTGAAGTATGCATACCAAATATGAAGTCTCTATCTCTTATGCTTCAAAAGTTATGGCAAAGGTTTGAAAAAGCTATTTTAGCATGTAGGTCACAGTCAAGGTCACAAGGTCATTGACCTTTGTGACTTCTGAAAGAACTTCATTAGTGGAGTATGCATATCAAACATGAAGTTTCTATATCTCAAGGTTCAAGAGTTATGGCGAAGGTTAAAGTTTTCAGCAAACAGACAAACAGACAGGACAAAAACAATATACGCTTCGGATCTATCGATTCGGGCGCATAAAAATCAGCATTACACTGAAAAGTGTTTTTTTAACTACACTTGATTTTTTTTTTTTCAAAAGTAGCACTACACTGGATTTTAAAAATTATTTCTTGATGGCATTGCCAAATGAAATTTTTTATGCTTATGTGCACCGGAAAAAAAAACCCATGGATATTCTATAAATCAATGATCCACTCTTTCTGAAAAAAAGCTACTGTTAAATTTATGATTAATTTTTACCGACGCATTCAACACGTGTTGATCACGAACACAGTTCGACGAAACAGGTGATAAATACCGAATGTAAAAGCAAGTGCGCGTTAGGCCTACAGGCTACATATCGGCGCTTTTGATCAAACTGTTACATTTTCATATTTCCCCAAGTTTGAAAACCAGAAGTCTCTGTCGAGACTGAAGCTCTACTTGTTTGTACTTGTAACAGATGAAGACAAAAGTAGCAGTTGGGACTTAAAACTTTACAACAGCAATAAATGGATAATGATGCTGGATTGAGCTCTTTTTGTGGCAAGATACTGCAATAAGACTACAGCTGTAGGAGTAGCTATTAATAAACTGTTAGAGTATTTTCAATTTTAGTAACCATGGCAACATCATTCCTCGAAATCACAAATCGATACACAAAATTGTGTATCTTAGTGTAGTCTACTCGTGTGCCAAGTTATATTGAAATCAGACCAAAACTGTAGGAGGTGTAGCATTTTGAAAGCATTTCAGAAAAATTTCTATATTTAGAAACAAACTTAAGGCAACACCGTTCATCGAAATCAAAAATCGATGTAAAGAATTATGTATCTTAGTATAGTCTACTTGTGTACCAAGTTAAAATGAAATCAGACCAAAACTGTAGGAGGAGTAGCTCACAGAAATTTCTATTTTTAGACCGTTCATCTTAGTGTAGTCTACTTATGTGCCAAGTTATATTGAAATCAGACCAAAACTGTAGGAGGAGTAGTATTTTGAAAGTATTTCACAGAAATTTCTATTTTTAGTAACCACGGCAACACCGTTCATCGAAATCAAAAATCGATATACAGAATTATGTATCTAAGTGTAGTCTACTTGTGTGCTAACTTATAATGAAATCAGATTAAAACTGTAGGAGGTGTAGCATTTTGAAAGTATTTCACAGAAATTTCTATTTTTAGTAACAAAGGCAACACCGTTCATCGAAATCTAAAATCGATATATAGAATTGTGTATCTTAGTGTAGCCTACTTGTGTGCTAAGTTATATTAAAATCAGACCAAAACTGTAGGAGAAGTAGCATTTTAAAAGTATTTCTCAGAAATTTCTATTTATAGTAACAACGGCAACACCGTTCGTTCATTGAAATCAAAAACCGATACAAAGAATTATGTACCTTTGTTAAGTCTACTTGTGTGCCAAGTTATATTGAAATCAGACCTAAACAGTATAAGGAGTAGCATTTTGAAAGAATTTCACAGAAATTTCTATTTTTAGCAACCATGGCAACAGGGTTCATCGATATCAAAAACCAGTACACAGAATTATGTACCAAAGTATTATCTACTTGTGTTTTTAGTTATATTGAAATCAGACCAAAACTGTAGGAGAAGCAGCATTTTGAAAGAATTTCACAGAAATTTTATTTTTATTAACCATGGCAACATCGATCATCTAAATTAAAAACCTATATACAGAATTGTGTATCTTAGTGTAGTCTACTTGTGTGCCAAGTTATATTGAAATCAGACCAAAACTGTAGGAGAAGTAGCATTTTGAAAGAATTTCACAGAAATTTCTATTTTTAGTAACCACGGCAACACCGTTCATCGAAATCAAAAATCGATACACAGAATTGTGTATCTTAGTGTAGTCTACTCGTGTACCAAGTAATATTGAAATCAGACCAAAACTGTAGGAGGTGTAGCATTTTGAAAGCATTTCAGAAAAATTTCTATATTTAGAAACAAAGGCAACACCGTTCATCGAAATCAAAAACCGATACACAGAATTATGTACCTTAGTTAGGTCTACTTGTGTGCCATGTTATATTCACCCCTACTAATGTTGCTGTTATTTAAATTTACATCACGTGGTTTCTCTTGAACTAGTCAAAGGTCATTAGGTTCGCAGTAAAGGAGAGTGTTCACACCTATAGTATAGTTTTCTATATAAAACTCATATCTTGACAAACCAGTTACGAGCAATTCCTTTATACAGTTAAAGATACACATCAAATGTTAACAAGATTTTCGTCATCATGTTTCAGGAACATTGAATACTTTTAAAAGGTGGTTCCATTATCCAATAATCCATACGGGTATGGAAGGGGGGGGGCTTGGAGTTATTTGGATTTCAGAGCTAGTGTTATAAGTATATATTAAATTAAAATTAAATGATACAAAAATATTTTTTATGAATGCTGAATTACATGCAATCTAAATGACTCAGAACCTGGATCCCTAAACATGTCAAGTTGGTTAGACATGCAGGAAATTACCCCCCCCCCCCCCGAAACAAACACAAGTTCTTCTCTTTTTTCCAACTTATTTTTATTTGGAAAGGAGGGATGAGACCTATCCATCCTGCTTCTCAATATTTTTTCTCCCATTTTCATACTTCTTTATTTTAAACCCTATCTCTAGGGTTTAATAAATTTTCCAGAGCACTTTGGATATTTTTATTGAAGGTATGAATGGTTCCAGGAATTCTTTGTCCACATGAGTGGTGGGGGGTGGGGTTGTTAAATACCAACATCCTTAGTCAGAATCATAAAAACATAAAAATGGGGGGGGGGGAGAGACATGTATGAAAACACACACACACAAATCTAATTTCCTAGTCATACCTAGAATGATTTAGCAAACTTCAAAACATAACCCTTTTCAATCTAGCTGACTATTACATGTAGGTGTCACTTGATCATGATCTTACACATACTTAGTATATCCCTGTCCCCAATGTCAAGTTTGGCTAAAAATGTTCACATTTCTTCATATTGTGCCTTTTTCATAGACCCAAAAGCATTTAAATAAATATCTAGAATATATACATGTACATGTAAGCTCTTTTTACACCCAGGACCGGGTTGTATCAACAGTTTATATTGATACAACCAGATCCAGTTCCTTTTCACTGAGATCATACTTGAAAAAAGATCCAACAAGATGTTTTCTAAGTATATGTTTTACGATAATAAATATATTTCTGTATTTTAATCGCACTCTGTAATATTTTGAACCCCTAGCTGTATTAGCCAAACACTTCTGGCCACAGCTCCAATGAACAGGGTTCAATACATAAACATGTCATGATATAAAAATACTTTTTAATATTAGCACAGCTTATTTCAACATCATTAATACTTGTTAGAAAAGCAGATACTGGACACAATGAGGACATTTCTAAAACATAAAATAAATTTATCTCTTTGCTTTTTGTAAAACAGTCATGCATATATATCATTCAGATTTTTTTTTTTTTTTTACATTGTGAACAAGGGAAAAAACTCTTTGGGAAGATTGATTATTTTTACAGATATACATGTACATGTATATATTTTTTAAAATAGCCATTTCATTTGTGATATATAGATGTACATGTATTAAATACATTTACTCTGCTTGAGTTAAAATCAGCAGAGTTCAAAACAAGACCTTTCCCATGTTCCAAAATTAAATTTATTACATAGAATGCACAACAAATCTAAGGATAAGGGAAATAGTTCAATAAAAAGCAATATAAGCCGCAATTCAAACTTCATAAAACCTTGAAATTTGAAATTTTCATGTTAAAACATTTTTTGTGTAAAATTCCAGTTCATTGTTACCATGGTTACAGTATTTCAATGACAGTAAAAGAAAGGATTATAAACTTCTTTTATTTATACATGTATTTACATTAGAAAGTCTTTTTAGGAAATTCTGATTGAAAAAAAAATTACATCTTTTATCCTTAAAAAAAAAGTGATTCCTACACAATATCATTACATTTGATATAAACATTGCAAGCTTTATACAGTTTTAAAATAAGCCATTATTACTTATATACAACAAAATACTTAGTATTCATTGTCAACCACTTCTAAAATTGGATCAGTAGTATCATTTCAATAACATTTCAACCAGAGAATAAAATCATTCAAACTTGATCACCATTATTTTGGGCTCATTACATTTGCTTCTGTGAGTATCTGTTTCATTCAGCAACTGTTCTTTATTTTCTGCTTAAAAATTACAAGGTCTCAACTCCAATCTTAAGGCAGTGCTGATATGCTGTCATCTTTTATAAATGGATATCTGGATTTGAAAAAAAAATCAAACATCAATTCAAAGATTATACATGTACATACTGCAGATTCCTTTTTTTGAGTACTTGTTATTGCAAGATAGCTCTTAAAAACATTAAATCGCAAGAATATATATTTGTGAAT